GATGATCAAAAATACCTAAGAGGAGAGTTGGACCAGGATGTCTCATTCATCAGTTTTACTGTTTATTTTCTTTCTGGGCAATGAAACAGACTGCCCTATCAAATCCATTCATAATCTTATGTGTTTCAGTGAGATTGACTCTCATTCCTACAATCTCCCTAGAATATGGATCCATTCTACCCAATCTCTCCTTTTCAGAAAAAAAAACACTCCTGTGCCAGGAAACAAACTCATGAACCTTCATTACACCTACTCTAAGACAAGTATAAATTTCCTCAGGTATGGAGAACCAATTTGGGTGCAATGTTCTAGTTGTGGCCTCACCAGAGCTCTTTACAATTGCAGCAATATTTCCTTACTCTTATACTCTAACACCCTTGCATATAAGGTCAGAAAATCACTTTTGTTCTTTGCATTTATTTTTCCTTGTTCTTGAGATGTGGAGGTCACTGCCAAAGCTAGCACTTGTTGTCCATGGCTAATTGCTGTTGAGAAGAAGAAAAAACAAAGTTGCTGGAAAAGCTCAGCAGCCCTGGCAGCATCTGTGAAGGAAAAAACGGAGTTAACATTTCGGGTCCAGTGACCCTTCCTACTGTTGAGAAGGCAGTGACTGACTCTCATCATGAGGTGTTACAGTCCATTTTGTGTAGGAATATTCGAAGTGCTTTTAGGGAGGGAGTTTCAATTTTGACCCAGCAACGATACACCAATATAATTCTAAGCCAGACTGGTATGTGGCTGTGAGGAGGTCTTGCAGGCAGTAGTGTCCCTGTTATAGCGTATTAAATTGTCAATGGATTAGGATCCAGCACTGATCCTTGTCATACCTCACTCATTACAGCCTGTCAATGCAAAAATGATTTGTTTGTTACAATTCTGTTTTCAGTCCTCTGTTCACTGCTATTTGTTAGATTGCTAATGTACAGGCAATCCTCAAACTTATTCAGGAGCTCATTTTGTGGTGTATGGATTTTATTACTTAGGGTTCACAGGCAGAGAAATATGTAGATGTAAAAGGAAAGTACTGTGGATGTCAGATTGTTAAATAAAAACAGAAAGTGCTAGTGAATCTCAGTAGGTCTGGGAGCATCTGTGGAGAGAGAAAACAGATTAATGTCTGGAGTCTGGTGTGACTCTACTTTGGAACTGGAAAGACCCGGAAATGGTATTTTTTGACACTGTTGAAAGAGAGGGAAGCAGAGCAAACAGGACAGATTGTGAGGAACAAAAACAGATGTTGCTGGAAAAGCTCAGCAGATCTGGCAGTGTCTGTGAAGGAAAGATCAGAGTTAATGTTTCGGGTCCGGTGACCCTTTCTCAGAACTGATGGTAGCTGGGAAACCGTCACTTTATATGCAGAAAATAGGGAGGGAGATGGGGTAGGGAATAAATGATAGGACAGAGGGTAGGGAGTAAACGATTGGATAGATTGTAAGGATGCCTAGAACAAAAGACAAAGATTTGATAATGGTGGTAAAGGAGAAAATGGAAAATTATGTAAATGGAATATGAAAAGGAGAAATAGGTCTAATCCCTTAGAAGAAAGTCAACAACTCACAAACAAGAAATGACCTAGGAGATGGGGATTGTAAGAAAATTGATGTCCAAAGGTCATACACTGAAGTTCAGCATCTCAATACTGAGGCCTGGAGGTTGTAAAGTGCCTAAATAAAAAAAAGGTGCTGTTCCTTCAGCTTAATTGAGCTTCATTGAAACACTGTAGCTGGCCAGGGTCAGAAATATTAACATGAGACTAAGGTGTTTTATTGAAATGGCAAGTAACTGGAAGGTATGATCGTTCCCTGAGCAGAGGTGTCTGCAAAGCAGTCATCAATTCTGTGTTTGGTCTTGCCAATGTGAAGGAAACTGGATTGTGAGCAGTGAATACAGTAGACTAGGTTGAAAGAGTACAAATAAAATTCTGTTGCACTTGGAAGGCGTGTTTAGAGAAGGGAGGAGATGAGTGGGCAAATATGATATCTTCTGCAATTTCATAGGAAGATGCCTAGGGGTATGAGGAAGTGTTAGGAGTGATGGAAGAGTGGACTAGGATGTTACAGAGGGAATGGTCCCTGCAGAATGCTGACAGTGGAGGGGAGGGGAAGATGTGTTTGGTGGTATTATTATGTTGGAGGTGGGTGGAAATGGTGGAGGATGATCTTTTGAATGAAGACTTTGGTTAGTAGAAAGTGAGTGTAGATAAATGGAAACATATCCATGTGTCGTCTTGATTGGGTAGTATTCTTTGTTGATATCAGAGAAAAACGTTTTGGAGATCACACAGGTAGAAGACTGCAGTGCTGTCCCTGGTGATATGAACATAGAATTATACAGCACAAAATAAAAGATCAGTTGGCCCATTGTACTGTACCATGTCCCATCCCCCTGTTCCTTCCCTGTAACTCTGCACATTTTCTAAGATACATAGATAAGTATATTTGTACAATTTGCAGAGATATAAATGTTTACTTGAAAGTTATGATTGAGACTACTTTCAGATATTGCTGTACAGATCAGAACAGTTTGTTTCATAAAAATATTCTTCTCATTCCCCTCCTGCTTTTTATACTAATTATTTTACATTTCAAGATGATCTCTATTTTGAACTAAAATAATTACAGTACCATATGTAGTGCTGAAGTGGATCATACCACATCATGTTCACACCTTGTATGCTTTGTCAATTAAATGTGCCTTTTGCTCGGTGATTAATGATGCAGTTACAAATAGAGAAAGTCTCTTTAGAGTTCTGTGGTGCAACCTGAGTTGTTCATGATAAGGATAGCATAATGTCCTGCACAGATAAACCAAGGTCAGTATGTAGATTAAAATGTATCTTCAGACAAGAATATAATCATTAGTACTTCAATCTCCACTCCAATTACATGATCTTCCTGCTTGCTGCCAATTCAGGCCCTTAAATGATCAATTAATCACTTCTTAAAGGCCCATTCCTGCTTGGGTTGCAATTATCTGAATTTTAGGCAGGATAAATAAGTCACTGAGCAAGAGAGCAAGACACTCAATGAAAATGGAAGATTTGCTCAAGATTGTGAAAGTTGATTGTGGTTATTTTTAAACTTAAAATTTCTAAAATCAACTTGATAGTAACACTCACTCCTTAATTGAGGTTTGAATTTTATCAATGTTCTTTGGAGAATTAGAGATCCGGGTCTATTTGGACTGGCAGAAACATGATGCAGCAGAAACTGGGTGTCTCTCGGGACTCAAACAAGGCGTCCTCCGCAGACAAACAGTTCTACAAGAACAGAGGAACAGTTTGATAAAAGTATGGTTGGTCTATGATTGATTGGCATTTATTCTTATTTACTGGACGCTGGTTCAAAAGAGTAGGTGCGGCAGCAGATGATTGCTAAGGGCCAAAGTATTTAACACTTACCCGAGCTACTACAGCAGGCAGGTTCACCTCAGATTAATGTCTGTCTCTTTGATAATGCAGCATTCCTGCAGCATTGCACTGTGACTTCTCTTGAGAGCTCACTATTATTATTTTGAACATGACCCCAAGCAAATGTTTTAATAATACAATAAATACTTAGGTGTCCTTTTGTAGTGTTCATGAGTGATTGAGTAGAATCTATGTATGTTTTTTGACAAACACCAATACAGTGAATGTATAGAAGTTTAAACTTTGGGCTGGATTTTACTTTCCCCCGCCAGTAGGTTTGTAACCTTGGGCCTGGGAGTGGGGGACACACATGTACAATCCAGTAGGTGGGTTGTCCTCTGTCCACCCTACACCCCCATCACAATTGTACCAGTGGTTATACTTATGATGAGATACTTTCAGGGAGGCAGGACTTGAACCTGAACCTTCTAGCTCAGGTGTTGGGACACAACTAGGTTGGGATTGTTTTTGCTGGAATTCAGATGAATGAGGGGGGATTTCATAGAGACTTATAAAATTCTAACAGGACTAGACAGGGTAGATGCAAAGAGGATGTTCCTGACGGTGACTGTTTCCAGAACCAGGGGTCACAGTCTGAGGAGTCGGGATAGATCATTTAAGATAGAGATGAGGAGACATTTCTTCACCCAAAGAGTGGTGAGCCTGTGGAATTCATTACCACAGGAAGTAGTTGATGCTAAAACATTGAATGTATTCAAGATGCAGCTAGATACAGCACTTGGGATGAATGGGATAAAGGTTATGGGGAGAAGACAGGATTAGGCTATTGAGTTGGATAATCAGACATGATCGTGAAGAATGACAGAGCAAACTCGAAGGGCTGAATAGCCTCCTCCTGTTCCTATCTTCTAAGTTTCTATGTATGTTTCTATCACCGGGCCACATAATACCCTCATTTTAATAGTGTTCAGTGTGCTGACAAACAGTCAATCCACCAGTGGGCAATTCAATGTCTTTACACAAGAAATTAATGTCCATTGAAGAGCCTAATTGTACCACTGCGGGTTCCCCTGTTATGGGCTATTGGAGGGCCAGGAGTCCTGTCCTGGACACTCCTGGGTGCATTGGAGGACCCACCAAGGTGTAACTTAACGTCCTACTCATGCTGTGTATCCCTCCAATAATGACCTCTCAAACCCTAGCCTACCTACCAGCCTCAGCAGTTCCCTCAAACACTTCCCAAGTTGTGATCCAGTGCTGAATGCTTCCTCATCATCCAGTTGTATCAGGGCACTACTGCTGGTGGCAATGCTGGTAATGGAGCGCTACCAGCATCTGGTTGGCTAGCAGCTCTCGGAGATAGGATGTCCTGCCCCTGAGGGACAGACATCCCACTTTCAGTTTAATATTTGACAGTTAGTTAGCCATTCAGAGACATTCTTCTGCTGGCTGGACTCCTCTCTGACCTGTTATCTAGGGTGTACATTTGAGGAGATGCATTGCTAAGACTATGTTGGTGCGTGCAATCCAATCTGTTATGTTGGGTTGTGTCAAATAGATAGAGTCTTGTATCTTTGATCATATTGCTGATTTGCATGCTAATTTCTCCTTTTGTTTTTAAACTTTAAAGAAGCTGGCGTACCCAGACAATTAATGTTCATTCAGCGACCCTTGAACACAGCTGTCCTGGAAGGAAGAAACACAGTTATGGAATGTTGTGTGTCTGGATTCCCAACTCCTACAGTCACATGGAAGAAAGGGGACGAGCCTCTTCAGACCAGGTAATCTTGTCCATTATTTGCCTCTCAGAGTCCCCAGCTCAACAGTGAATGAAAACTGCTGAGATCTGTCCAAAACAAGGAAAATTGTGGCTGCATTGTATTTTACATTTTAGTGGTTCTGTCCACATTAAATAAAGTAAAAGACAGCTTCTTTTCATAGAGCTTGCTATGTTGCGTTTACTGTTCATTACACTATCATCCTCAGCCACATGCTGTTTCCCGGTTTGAAATTAGAGGTGCCATAGCACGTATTATAATGTTGAAAATTTCTAATTAGCCCACTGGATTCTCACAGTCAATTTCTCAAACCCTTTTAGTGTTTTGGCAGCTATCATTACCATACACGTGAGACATATTTCTTCGTTACTACTTGCCACCAGTTGCACTCTGAGGCACATACTGCTACACATGCAGAATACAAGCCAATTACAAAGACAATAATCACAAAACATAAAATGGACCAAATTCAAAATAAAGAGTGAAAATTTATTACTGCATCCTTAGAGAACTTGAAAATTAGAACATGATAATTGAGTATTCATCTCAACAAATGCACCATTTGGCTATTTTGTCTTTTTGTAATTCAGCATCCTAAGGAACAGTTGTTGCAAGTATTAGTTTGCATGTTGATAATGATTCCCTCAGCCTCTTTCCATTTCATTTGATGTGAGTGCATACACAACATATAGCTAACTCATCTTTAACTAATAAATGTTTAACTAGATCTTTTGTGACGCAATGGTAGTGTCCCTAGGACTGGGTTCAAGTCACCCCTGCTTCAGAGGTGTATAATAACATGTTTGATAGAATTGATTAAAAATATCTCTAGGTCTAAGGTTTCAAAGAATTGCCCAGAAAAGTATTTTTCATGCTGGCCATTTTCAGTATAAATTAATTGGACAAAACCAGATTGGTCAGATGTAGATGAGTCTTTTGTAGATTCAAGTACTTGATATATGAGATTTTGTACCAGTTTCCTGTTAACTATTCAACTGGAGTGCAAATTTAGATTTTGCTCAATAAGTAAATAAAAAAAACTTACTTGACTCATATTATAAGTTGACATAGTACCTCTGTGAAAATAATTAACAAAGAAATTTGGAATAAGCACATGAGCTATTTGTGCCATTATAATGCATAGCATCACTGACAGGCTCGAATTTGAAAGTAGCCAGCAAGAGCATGATCAAAAACTGTACTCAATCTCCAGCAATTCCAATAACAGAAAGAACTTTTGTTTTCATCATAGTACTAGAGAGTTGTTGCACAGAAAAGAGGTCATTCATTCCATTGTTTATCTGCTGACCTATTAAAAAGCCTAATGCATACCTGGCACTGTTTAGAATACTCAGCTGCCAACCAACCTTACTGTCAGCTCTCCAGGACCGGTCTTTGATCTCTGAAGGGGCAGAAGTCCCATTCCCACTTTCAAGACTGCCCCAATGTATTATTGCTGAAGGTTAGACCAATTTAATGTGATGAGCCACAGCGACCTTTCCAATGGCTTTAACCCTATGCTCCCTAGTCAGTGAATTCTTAACAAAGGGAAATATGTCCTTACTGTCAATTCTATCTAAGCCCCTCATAAGTTTAAAGACTTCAATTAAACCCCCTCTCAGCCTCGTCTTTCAAATAAAACAATTGTATTTATTGATGCACAGGATTTGGGGATCACTGCGACTAATAGTCATCACCAATTCCTAATCGGCCTGGTGAACATAGCATTTTATGGGGGAATACCATCAACTGATAAACTGATCTAATCATATGCTTTCTTTTCCAGCATGTCGCTTAAAAACCCTTAGATTCTTTCTCTATGTGTTGTCTCTTCCCTTTCTGAAGTTTTGTTTGACCACACTTTCATTTGTTGATGATCATTATGCTAAAGAGGTCTTGTCAGACTTATTTATTTCACAAATTTCTAAATTCTGTATGTGTCAGAAAAACCTAACCAATTTATCAATTCCCATCATCATCATAAGAAGCGTTAGAAGATAAAATTTCTGCTCCCAGATTTATGTTGCCACTGCTGGTGAACTGAAGCCAAATCCCAGAATTCCAAAAACACATCTCTTCCTCTTAAGGAGGAATCATGGAGTCAGCAGAACATCTGGCCATGGGTGTTGTTTGCAAAATCTGAACTTTGTTATTCAGTAGACCCCTTGTTTTCTGCCCTCAGAGAGTCAGCACATTACACTTAGACATTCAATTCTTTGATACTGAAGCTCAAGTTGATTCTTTTTGTGAAAACAATTGTATATCTCTCGGAAGATCTGCTCTTCAATACCCAAACAGCAGACAATTATAATTTTTTCAGGTCCGGAAAGTACTCAATGCTGGCTGGAAGTAACTTGCTCATCAAAAGCGTAACTCAGCAAGATGCCGGGCTTTACACATGTTTTGCCAGCTCTGAGAATAAGACAGTCGGTGCGTCAGCGGAACTCACTGTGATGGGTATGTTTAATTTGGTAATTTATCTAATAATGGAGTCACTTAGCATGCCACACAAAAAAACTCCATTAAAAATATTGAATGTTTTACACAATCATCTTGTTCAACTATGTTTCAATAATTGTTTTTACATCCATGAGCAAACAGTCAGTTAGATTGTGTTGCAGTTATGTCGCAGAAACTTCAGTAAAACATAATTGTGATAGTTACAAATTGTAATGCCATGTCCATTTGAGCAGTAAGAAAGACCAAAATAGACAGAGATTTTCAACAGCCAAAATTAGGATTTATATTTGAGACCATTGTGAGCTGATACTAAAATGAGGAAGTGGTGTTTAGAGGTTTGCCACTAATGACTAGAGAAATCATGAGTAGTGTGATATATTGAAGGATACTGTTTTTAAAAATCTGCAACCGTTATCCAATGCATTGATAAGTCTGATAGAGGTACTAAATCAGTGTATGTTTAAAACAACTGGCAAAATGGAGCAGACAACATGTCTCATTTATAAATGCTTTTATTGCCTCCTTTGTTGAGTTCAAATGTTTATGCTATTGTCTTTTCTTAAAAAAAATTTGAAAGTTCCAAAGAGTAAATCATTGTGAAATTTTGCACTGTTTGACCTGTTTGCAAAAATGATGGAGGAGGCTGAAGATCTTAAAGCCTGTGACTTAATATCAGCACCTACCATTTCCACAGGGGAGGGTATGGGATCGTGTGGTATTTCACACATTTTTAGAAGATATTGGCCAGAAGCTGACAGATGTCCCCACTCTGTTCTGATTTTGATGACCCAAGTGTGTGAAACTTGATGTGCACAGGTTAGACTTGGTAAGAGCTAATCTGAACTTTGTGGATTTATTTAGATAGCTAAGGTACCCTTTGGAGAGGTAAGCTACCCCTTTGAATATGGTGCTAGAATGGCCTTTGGGAAAAAGAAAATGTTCTTTGGGGTTGTTAAGAACAGGTGTTTATCTGCGTAAAATGTACATAAACTCATTTACTGGCATTTTCATTGGAATTGATGATAGATACTTAGAACTTTATATTATTTCATCTCAACAATTGTCCTGAGATTTTCCCATGATGTGCTCTTGAGTTTCCATTTTAGGTGTAAAGAAAAAGAGTGGTAGGGCACTTGGATGGCACAAGATTGCATTAAATTAACATTCGGGACAAAAAGGGCCAAGGCTGTAGACAGTATGAATAGATTGGAATGGCCAAGATGTGGGCTTGAAGGGGTGTGTTAAGGTGCATAGGTTGGCATAAAGGGCATGAGAAAAAAAAAATTAATTCAGTTAGACAATTGCACAAGTGATGGTTGGTGAGCAGTGAATCACCTGCTGATTATTCCTTCCTCATAGTGAGCAAGTGCCTGTTGAAGTGGTCTGCAATCTATACTTTGTGATTAGTGAGTATCAATCTGTGCCCTAGTGTTTGCTGGAAAACCAATGTATTGGTCTTCTGCATAAATGACTGTCTCTCTCAATGTTTTGTCATGTACAAATGTCTATTTTATGTAACTACATAATGTTAAAGTGCATGCTTTTAGAATGTATTTTTTCATTCTCTTGTGCCATTCAAGAGTGGATAATTACTGTAGTCCATTTGACTGATCTTAAGGCTGATAACTCATGAGGCAAAGCCATAAGTCCACAGTTTGATTATAAGCTCTGTGCCTGAGCAAAGTTGTTTTTTTTAATCACAACCTACCCGACTTCTGTTCTGAAGAAACCAACCCTCTTTAACTATTCTAAAGGCAGTAGCCATTCTCTGCTGCTTCAGCCTGATATTGATGCTTCCCATCTGAGTCTTTGTGTAAGGCCTTTGGCAATGGAAGAGTTCAACCATCACACCATCCTGTAATATCATGTCTGAACACTTTATCACTTGCAATTTTTTTTTACTCCAGTTTATCTTGATTTAGTAAAGCTTTAGTCTCACAATTGCACTGAGCTTCTTCAAAGGGGAAAATTCATATATTAGCTTCTTAACTAGGCATTTGGAGCCTTTGGTGATATAATGTGTTCCATGCACCAGCATGGTATGGAACAGAAAACTAGACATTTCATTATTCAGCCATAGATGAATAGCAATCTCGTCAGTGCAGTGCACATTGTCACATCTCAAAGTGGATTGATTCCCTTCATAGAATTTCTTAAGAGTTTCATCCCTTTTATTTGAATGGCTTATTTGTTATTACAATTTTGGCATCGTAGGGTTGTATGTCTGTGTTGGTATTTGATCTCACTAAGCGACCAGCTGTACCAACTCAGCATGATGCCATTAAAGATATCACAATTCAATTAATAATCTGAGCTCCATTTTTATCATTGAAGTTGAAATGCTACATTTGGTTTAGGATCAGAAAAATAAAATACAGTTAGTGTCCTTACTGCTCGTCACTATTCCGTGACTATTACTGAAAAGTACACTATGTGAATGTTGGATGAATATACAACCAAATCTGGCTGTAATGGAATAAATGGTTACATAATTTCAAGAGTGGATAATTACTGCCAAGCTCATCCATAAAATTGAGTACTTGGGGTTTACTGTATCTGTGTAATTCCATCTCAGCATATGTCAACATCTATTTGAAAAGCACCTTTATCTAGCTCTATGTTCGAAGAACACTTCCCGGGAGATTTATAAAATTTGTCACCGCACCACCTAAAGAGATTTTGGGACTGGTGATCATAAGGTTGATTAAAGAGGAAGGTTTCAAAGAGAGTCTGTAAGGAGGAGAGGGAACCCTGGAGCTTAGGACCTGTGCAACTGAGGACACTGCCCACCAGATGTGGAGCAAAAAAAATCAGGGTTCTGTACGTGGCCAGAGTTGGAGGGACCCAGAAATGTCAGAGCATTACAGGGTTGGAGGAGGTTCTTGAGTTAGTGATGGTGTCTCCACATACAATTTGAAAACAAGGGAACTAGTTCTAAAATTGCTTAAAACATGTCAGTAAATGAATAGATAATGGATGAACAGGTTCAGTAACCTCAGAAAAAGACGATTGAAAACTTGAAGAGGTAAGTGTTGTTTTCAGTAATTTTTTAAAATATCACTTTTCCTGTTGAAGGAGGGGAAACTGTAATAATAATTTAATACAGACACATGCTGTGTTGATTCATGGTGTTAATAAGAGTACTCCATGTGAATTATAACATCATCATCATTCAACTGCTACACAGTGATAGAGTCATAGAGTCTTAGAGTCATACATCATAGAAACAGACCCTTCAGTCCAACTAGTCCCTGCCAACTATGTTCCCAAACTAAACCAGTCCCACCAGCCTACATTTGGCCCAAATCCCTCCGAGCCTTTTCTATTCATGTGCTTATCCAAATGTCTTTTAAACATTGTAACTGTACCTGCATTCACCACTTCCTCTGGCAGTTCTTTCCACACACTAACCACTCTCTGTGTAAAAAAATTGCCCCTCATGTCCTTTTTAAATCTTTCTCCTCTCACCTTAAGAATATGCCCCCTAGTTTTGAACTCCCCCACCTTACAGAAAAGACCCTTGCTATTATCCTTATCTATGCCACTCATGATCTAATAAATCTCTATGAGGTCACCATCAACCTCCTATGCTCCTGTGATAAAAGTTCCAGCCTATCCAGCCTATTTTTACAACACAAACCTTCCATTCCCAGCAACATCCTGGTTAATCTTTTCTGAATCCTCTCTAGTTTGATAATATCCTTCCTATAACAGGGCAACCAGAATTGCACACACTACTCCAAAAGGGGCCTCACCAACATCCTATACCCTTAACATGTTTAATCTTTACACATTTTATATTGGATGGTCTGTTGTTTTTACAAATTTGCCATAGCTTGAATTCTGCCCTTCTCTCCTGATACTCTCTTGAAAATTGGCAGCAGTATATTTTCCTTTCTTATTACATTTATTGGTTTGTGTTTACACTGGGAGTCATGTCACACACTGACAAGAGCTGCACACATGGGTGCAAAATCTCACCAGCAAGGTCACCTGTTCTATCTCATGACCGTTGTTACCCTGCAGCAGTCCGTGGTGATACAACTGCATCTATCCTATTAATGGATCAAAGAATTACTGCAGTAAGCAAATTGCACCCAAAAATATCTTATCAGGGTGTAGAATAAAATAAACTTTGCCATCTTGCTTAGCAACAATGGCACCTGATTACTTTCAAATAATCACTAAGAAAGGAATGAACCTGGATTTATTTAACCTCTTTTGCATCCTTGGAATATCTTCAAACTACATTGCTGTTAATGAATTATTGTTCAAATGTATTCATGGTTGTGCTATATATAAACACAGCAGAAAATTTATTATAGGTAAATACAGTAGAAAATTTATACATAGCAAGTTCTCACTAATACCAATGAGAAGAATGGCTTCACAATCTATTACTGATGAATAATTGTTTCAATCATAGAATCCCTACAGTGTGGAAACAGGCCCTTCGGCCCAACAAGTCCACACTGACCTTCAGACATCCCACCCAGACCCATCCCCCTATAATGCACCTAATCTACACATCCCTGAACACTACAGGCAATTTAGCATGGCCAATCAAACTAGCCTGTACATTTTTGGACAGTCAGGGGGAAACCGGAGCACCTGGAGGAAACTCCACGCAGACACGGGGAGAATGTGCAAACTACAAAGACAGTCGCCTGAGGGTGGAATCGAACTCAGGTTCCTGGCGCTATGAGGCAGCAGTGCTAACCACTGAGCGACCATATCATAAAGTTGGAACAACTCCCCTTCTCTTCAAGTAGAATAATGTAATCTTTTACATTCAACTAAGAAGACAGTTAGGACCACAAATTAATATCTCTTCTGAAAGACAGCACCTTCAACAAATGAATCAGTGATTCTGGCATCTCAAGTAGCCTGACTGGACAGGAGGGGAGAAAGAAGGAACCAGGAGTGACAATGATAAAGGAGTCATTAGGTAGGAGAATAAACAAATGTTTCTGTGGCCGCAGATGTGACTCCAGGAT